TGGTTGAGCAGCTGCCTTCGGCTCGGGTCATGATCCCGGCGTCCTGGGATCGAGTCCCACATCGGGCTCCTTGCTCATCAGGGAGCCTGCTTCTCCCTCTGCCTCTGCCTGCCATTCTGTCTGCCTGTGCTTGCTCTCTCTCCCTCTCTCTCTGACAAATAAATAAATAAAATCTTTAAAAAAAAAAAAAAAAAGATTCTCTCTCTCTCCCTCTGCCCCTCCTACCTTCTCAAGCGCTCTAAATAAATAAATAAATAAAATCTTAAAAAAAGAAGAAGAAATTCAAACCATGCAATAAAGGATAAAGTAGAAAAGTAGAACCAGAAATTTCCTGGCTGTGCCATTCCTAACAGCTTGTAACTTTCAACATTTTCCTTTTTTCCCTCATAACCCCTGATTTCTTTTTTTTTTTTTTTAATGAAAATACTATCATACGGTATGGGTAGGTTTGTACCTTGCTTTTTCTTTCCCGTATAAATTAACATTGGCATAATATCTTCTCTGGTCTCTCTCTCTCTCTTTTCCATTTTTAAAAGTAAACTTCAGGGTGCCTTCAGTGGGTTGAGCCTCTGCCTTGGGCTCGGTCATGATCTCAAGATCCTGGGATCAAGTTCCGCAGCAGGCTCCCTTCCTTCTCTCTCTCTCTACCTGCCTCTCTGCCTGCTTGTGATCTCTCTCTCTCTGTCAAATAAATAAATAAAATCTTAAAAAATAAATAAATAAAAGTAAACTTCAGTTGACAGTTGGGAATTTCCAGAAGAATTGCAAAGACAGTACAGACTTCTCAAAAACTCCATACCCAGTCTCCCTTATTATTAAAATCTTACCTAAACCTGGTACATTTCTCACAGCTAATGAACCAATATTGATAGAGTATTATTAACTAAAGTCCATGTTCATTCTACTGCATTTAAAAAACTTTTAAGTTGGGGCATCTGGGTGCATTAGTTGGTTGAGCGTCTGCCTTCAGCTCAGGTTCTGATCCCAGGGTCCCAAGATCCAGCTGAGTCAGGCTCCTGCTCTGTGGGAATTCTGCTTCTCCCTCTCCCTCTGCCCCTTCCCCCGCTCTCTCTCAAATAAAAAGATATATATTTTTGAAAAAACGTTTATTTTTTTATTTTATTTTTTAAAGGATTTATTTCTTTGACAGAGATCACAAGTAGGCAGAGAGGCAGAGGCTTTAACCCACTGAGCCACCCAGGCGCCCCATTAAAAACTTTTAAATATAATTCCATTTAATACAATTACCTGGACCCTTTTGAAGTGTATAATTTCATGAGTCTTGACCCATGTATATTCCCACGAAACCACAACCAGAACCACAGTCAAGACATGGAACATTTCCACCACCCAAGTTTCCCTCCCGTCCCTTTGCAGTGCACCTTCCCCTCTGTCCCCCAGCTTCAGGCAACAACTAATCTGCCCTCTGTCACCATAGATTAGATTTACCTTTCCCAGAATGCTAGGAATGGAACCACAGGAGACTGGCTTCTTTCATGCAGTCTAATACATTTGCAATTCATCCATGAGGCCCAGTTTATCAAGAATTCCTTCCTTTTTATGCCAAGTAGTGTTCCATGGAATGCATATACTGCTATCTATTTATCTCTTCACTAGTTGATGGACATTTTGGTTGTTTCCAGCTTCTGATGATTGTGAAAAAAAGTGCTGTGGCAAAAAAAACACAAAAAACAAAAAACAAAACAAACAAACAAAAAACACCACAACCACCCACCCACCCCCCACCCACCCCCACCCACCCACACCCACCCACACCTACACAAAACCCCAAAACTAAAAAACAAGCTTTATGGACACTCCTGTACAGGTCATGGTGGGAATATATGTCTTCATTTCTCTGGAGTAAATACCTAGGAGTGGGATCGCTGGGTGCTGGGTCCTGTGTCTTCTGCATTCTTTCTACGGCTGCATAGCTGCATTCTGTGACAGACTTCGAGCTCTGCTCAGCACCTTATCTTATCTTATCTTATTTATTCATGTGTTTATTGGCTATCTCCCAAGCATTTGTTCTCTCAAAAAGAAGAGAAATGGTTAGAAGACTAGACCTTGAAGCCAGGCTGCCTGTGTGACTCTGGGGAAGTTACTTAACCTCTCTGTTTTCTCTCTTTGCACACTTGCAGAAGGGGACTAACAGTGGTGCGTGGGGTGATTGTGGGGATTAAATGAGGTTGTAGAGGGGTGGCTCAGTCAGTTGAGGCCTCCTGACTCTTGATGTAGACTCGGGTCATGTTCTCAGGGTTGTGGGACCTAGCAACTTCTGGCTCCGTGACAGTGGGGAGTCTCCTTGAGATTTTCTTTTTCCCTCTTCGTCTGCCCCCACCCATGCTCGAGCTCTCTCTCTCTCTCTAAAATAAAACACATAAATAAATATTTTAAACTTTTGATTCCCTTAAAACTTAGCTACTCATAGCCTTGTGTGACCAGAAGTCTAAACAGTAACATAAATAGTAGATAATGCATATTTCATATATTATATGTATTATAGACTGTATTCTTACAATAAAGTAACCTGGAGAAAAGATGTTATTAAAGAAAGATCATGGAGAAGAGAAAATACACTTATAGTACTGTACTGAATTTACTGAAAAATATCTGTTTACTAGAGGACTGATGGCGTTCAAACCCGTATTGTTCACCTATAGGCTTACACCGTTGTCTTTTTTTTTTCCCCTTTAAGAACAAGTCCTAGGGGTGGGCGCCCGGGTGGCTCTGTTCCTTAAACGACTGCCTTCAGCTCAGGTCATGATCCCGGAAATCCTGGATCGAGTCCCGCATCGGGCTCCCATCTCTGTGGGGAGTCACCTCCCCTCTCATGCTCTCTCTCTCTCACCCAAGTAGATAAATAAGATCTTTAAAAAAACAATTAAAAAAATAATTACTAAAGAACAATTCCTAGGGTGCCTGGGTGTCTCATGGCCCTCCTCCCATCACCGCGACCTGAATAAAGTGCTGTCATCTCAGCTACTAGAGTTGCTTTTTAAACCAACAAGACTGTGTGAGGCATACGGATTTCAAAAGAGCACAAAAACAAGAACGTTTAATGCTGGCGAAGATACTTTAAAGTGCACGTTCCCCCGAAAGGTGGGGAGTGTGAACTGGATCCGCATAGCACAATTGGGCAATGTGCATCCCAGGCCGCTGGGAGGCAGCAGAGGGCAGTTAGCGAGAGCCTTGCCTGGGAGTCAAAACTGGGGATGAGCCCCGGCTCTGCCCTATTAGCTTGTGCGCCTTGAGCAAATAAAGTTACTTCTCTAAGCTTTGGTTTCCTCTGCGAAGCCGGAATAATCATAGCCCTTGTTGTTAAAATTACACAGCTTAGCTCCCTGCATGGGAATTGTTAGTATTATTAAATCTTAAAGTTGTACACATATACCCATTTCCTTTGACCCATCAGTTCTATTTGTGGTAATCTATTTAAAGAAAATAATTAGAGGTGTGCACAAATATTTAACTGCTTGAATTTGTGGGGCGGAGGGAGGTATTATTTATAATAGCAAAATATTTATCACAGCTTAGATGGTCAATAAGAAAGGGTAGTTAAACAAACTAGAGTTCATTGATAGAATGGCATCTGTGCAGCGGTGAAAACTAATGTTCTTGAAGACAATGACGTGCAGGGATACTGGTGAGATTTCTGACCTTGTTTTTAGAAACATGCAAAATTCTTTATAAATGTGTGCCCGTCTGTTAAAAAACAAAAGAGGTAGGTAAATGTACAGGAAAAAAATGACTCATCACTCATTCATTCATTGCTTCCCCAGACATTAATTAAATGGCTACTATGTCTTAGACACTGTGCTGGGGAGCGGCATGGGGGATGGAGGATGCACTTAGCACTTAACAGTATCTTTGAGCGGGTGGAATTAGGACTCATCCCAACCATCCATTCAACAAATGTTTGTTGGCCATCTACATGCCAGTAGTGCAAGGGCACTGGGCACGCACGGTGAACAAGACAGACAAAAACCCATGCTCTCATGGAGCTGACATTTCTGTAGAGGAAACAACCAAAAAACAAATTACAATGAGCTAATCATCTCGTTTGTTAGAAGGTGATCAGAGCAGGAAAATATGAAATAAAAACGATAAGGGGTGGGGGGAGTTAGTAGCTTCCAAGGAGGGATGTTTGCCGCTTTAGTTAGAGTGGGAAGGAATAAACTCACTGATAAGGTGCTATTTGAGTAAAACCCCGAGTGAGGGGAGGGAGCCCTCAGGATACCTGGAGGAAGAGTCTGTCCCAGACAGAAAGAACAGCCAAAGACCTTAAGAGGAGGGAGCGCTCCGGATATTTTTTCTGAAGAGCAAGGTAGCTGGGACCCAGTGAGTGAAATCATAGGAGAGGATGTCCGGGTTTCGTTTATGGATTTTGTTGTTGTTTCCTTTTTTTTTTTTTTTTTAACGGATTAATTACTTTTTAAAAACTTATAGAAAAGATTAAGATCAAATAGTGTCTTGGTTCCAGGTCAAGTTCCTGGACTCAGACTGTCGTTCAAAACTCATTTTCGACTTCCTGTAATCCTGAGGCAGCTAGTTCATGCCTTTGAGCCTCAGTTCCTTTATCTGTAAAGTGGGTATTGATAATACGATAGAGTTTTAGTGAGTATTTAGTGAGACAATGCAAAGAAAGCATTTGGCCAGGTGTGCGGCACGTATCCCACAAACTCGTTTTGGGGTACGGTGGGACTCCTACACGAGGATAGTCATTTCCCCTTTAAGAACCCGATTGGGCGGGGAGCCAGCTTCCCCACCGCCCCCCGCACCCTTTCCAAATTTTCCAATCCCCGCTTGGCATTTTCTGCCCGAAGGTCTCCGATTGGACAATCTGCGCCAATCAGAGGCTGGAGCGGGCTCTGCCAATGGCCCAGCTCCGCCCCTGAGCGGGCCCTGCCCCCTGCCCGGTCAGCCCCGTTGCTATGGGGACTGGTGGGCGGCGAGGGGGGAAAGCCCCGGATGTTCGTTGGGGATTTAACATGGCGGCGGCAGTGGCCGCGGTGGCGGCGGCGCAAGAGAGCTGAGGGTGGTGTGAGGGTTTGGAATTCCCGGTCAAGCAGCTAGGCCGCGAGCGACTGCAGCGCCGAGCCGGTAGGATCACCGGTCTGGCCAGGGGATTGGGGAGGGCCGGGAGACGGCGGTGGGAGAGCGTTCACGCAAGTAGGGGGCGGGGCCGGTGGGGTCAAAGTTCACTCGAAGAGGGAAGGGTCGCCTCGGAGAGGTCAGGGGTCAGTGCTGCTGGGGACGGTGGTGTAAGGGAGATCCGGAGGTAATACAGCGAAAGGGGGCGTGGCGAAGGGGACCACAAAATTCGAAATTTGAAGTGGGGCCCGTTCGAGGGGGTCGGGGCGAGTGTCAGAAAATGGGGGTCAAAATTAATCATTTGAAGGGAGGGTGCGCTTCCTAGAGTCGGAGATCACAGCCGTGGGGGCGGTGGTTTGGAGGTTTACCGGCGGCAGCCGGCGGAGCAGATGCATGAGATTGGGGGTGGGGGGTGTACCTTATGAAGGGATCAGATGTGGGGCGTGGCCAAAGGGGGCAAAGGTCCCAATCTGACGGATGTTATACCTGAGGGGTCAATAGTTAAAACCCTAGCGGGATGCTTTGCAGCAGAGGACGGGAGGGATGCCCAAGAGAGAGATCAAGGGTGCTTCTTGGCCGGGCAAAGGGGAGCCCCCTCCCACAAATAGTGAAAATAATGGCAAACACTCATAAATCACTATGTGTCAGGTCATTTCAATGCTTTACATATATTTAATCCTCATTGCAACCTTATGCGGTTGGCCCAGGATCATCTAATGAGTAAGTTGTGGGGTTGGGATTTAGACTCAAGTTCTGGTCCCAGAGACGTACTATGTTCTACTGCCCCTCAAATAATCACAATTCTGGCTAATATTTAATGAGGGCTAACGTTGCACTCAGCGCTCTCGTTTCATTATACCACAAGTTTGTGAAGTGGGTACTGGGCAGACCCGCTTCACAGACAGGAAAACTGAGGCTCAGGTCCATCTGCAGAGTAACACGGGCAGTTTCCAAGCTGGGTCTGACAGATTCCCGAGCTTCTAGCCCCCAGTTGTTACACTGTAGACTGGAAGATCTGTTCCTGGAAGCAGGGGCCTGGGCAAGGCCGAGCCACTCCCTGGACTGGAATGGATTGTCTTTGGGCTCCATGGAAGGGTGTGATCTGGGAAGAGAAGTTCTCATGGACCCATGGGAGTAGGGTGTTTGTGGGTGGCCCAGAGTCTAAGTGAGTCTGATGGGCTTCTGACTGGGAAGGGTGTCCCTGAGTGGGATCCAGTACAAAGCCCAGTGTTCTCTGTACTTAAGACCCCAGTCTCTCCTGGTGGTCCCAAATCGCTCCCACCTCATTTCCTACAGCTCTCCTTGTCTATTCTCAAGTTCCAGCCCCACCAGCCTGTTTGCTGTTCTTCAACTCTGCAGGCATATGCCACCCTCTAGGTCTTTGACCTTCCTGTTGCCTCTGCCTGGAATCCTCTCCCTGGCCCCAGCCCCGTACTCACTGTCACCCACGTGCAGCACTTCTAGCATCACCTGCCTCTCACTGTCCCTCACACACTCTTTATCTCCCTGTCTGGTTTTCTCCCCAGGCCCTTATGCTTACCTTGTTTGTCAGGGCACCATGTGTTGTCTGCCTCCCCCCACCCCAAGAATGTGGGCCCCATATGGCAGAATTTCTCCATGTTATTTCTTCCCCGAATCCCCCCTGGAGCACTGTGGGGCCAGTGGACGGTGTTTGGTGGTTGAATGTTGGACACTGGGCTGGGCACTGAGACTCCGGCAGCAGACAAGACACAGAGCTGCCTGGCCTCCAGGGGCTCTTGGCATCCCTTGGTGGGAGCAGACTGGAACCAGACCCCCAGCCAGTGATCCGCAGCTACATATGGACCCCTAGGGTGCCCGGCCTGGGGGTGGGGAGGGCCTGGGGAGCCGGAGCTGAGGGGTAGCTGCCCGTATTGGTGGGGCAGCGCTAGGGACTGGTTCAGACCCAGCTCCGTCACTCCCGGGCCGTGTGACCATGGGCCAGTTTCTTTACTTCCTGGGCCTCCATTTCTTCCTCTGCAAAATGGATATGACAGTGACCACCTCATGGGATGGCCGGGAGGGCGCAAAGCAGAAAGCGTGTGACCCCAGACCTGGCCCCCGCTCTGTGCTATGTTGGCATTAGTCCTGCCGCCTGGGGAAGACCTCAGAGATGGAGGAGGGCGCCTCTCCACCTGCCTCCTGGCTCTCCCAGGCAGCCGCGCCACCCCCTGCCGCCTCTGGCAGGGTCACCGGGTGGGCACACTGCCAGGCAGTTCTGTGAGGCCGGCCCAGCCTCCTCCTCATGGTGCCAGCTTGCTCAGCATCCCGGGCTTCGCGCAGATAAGCACAGCTACGGCTTTGCCGTCGGAGACCTGAACTCAGGTCCCTGCCCTGTCCCCAGCCGTGGGACCTCAGGCAAGTGCTTTCTTACTTGCTACTTTTGTTCCTTAGGATACATTTTAGATCGGGGGGAAAAGTAAAGCCTTCAGTGAACAGAACCACCACCCCCCCACGCCTCCAGCATCTGGCCTGGGATGGGACTCGGGGTGGATGGCGTTCAAGGCCCTGCTCCCTGCCTGCTTGCCCCGGTGCTGGATTTGGATTTGGTGTGTCTGTCTCTCTGCAGGTCTTCCTACCCTTACGACCTCTGAATTCATTCACAGATCATAGAGCCGCAGCTCTCAGTCCCGGCTCCCCGCTGCTGTCAAAACTTTCAAAACTGCTCCAGCCCAGGCCCCCTAGGGAGCTTCTGACTTGGTTGGGGGTGGGGCAGGCCTCAGTACATGGTTCGTGGTTCTCGGGGGCCAGCCAGACGGGACCACCGCTGTTCGACAGTTTGACGGCTGATGGAAGCGGTGTCTTGGGAGACGACTTGCCCTTTTCCGCTCAGCATTCGAGTTTGCGTTTCTCTCTGCGAGGACTTGTGTATAGCTCTAGAATTCAGTGTCTCTGCTGTGAGTATGTCTTGTGCTTGTGCCACATAGGACTTACCTGGTCACCTGTTGGTGGACATTGGGGTGGTTTCCCATTGGGACACTGTGACAAGGCCACATTGAACATTCTAGAGCGTGTCTCCTTGTATACTGTGGCCAGAGTCTGTCTTGGGCGTGTGGCTCACTGGACATGCCTTGCCTTCCAGATTGTTCTCCTGGGCAGTGGTACCAGTCTGCTGTCCCACAAGGCTCCAGGGCTCCCCTCACTCCATGTCCTGCTTTGGGGTAAATCCGTAGGCCTTGCTGAAGTGGTCTACTCAGACACGAGATGGTGGGCTTATGGCCCCTCCAGACTGGCTGGGAACGACTGGGAAGATGGTTCATGTGTTGGGCTTGGCGGGGACCTGACACCCACAGAGCCCCCACACCCAGGCTTTTGCCCTCAAGGACATGCAAGACGGTGACCACAGCTTTGACCCAGCTTTCCTTGGGAGGCATCTCTCAGCGTTGACAGCGGATAAGGAAACTGTACTGACTTGAGCCATGTACCGAGGCCCGCCCCACCCCTGACCAAGTCAGAAGCTCCCTGGTGGGCCTGGGCTTGAACCTCCTCAGGAAGGGGGCGGGAAGGAGGTGGAATGTGGAAAGGGAGCGGCAGAGTCTTGTTATACTCTTTTCGTGCGTGACCACTGGTCCCATGGGTGACCCACACAGCCCCAGCCCTGCCTGCATGGATGTAGTATGGCGACAAAGGCGACGGACCCGTCCTGAGACAGTGACAGCCCAGCAGTGGGCCAGGCCTAAGCAAAGGAGGTAGAAAGAATAGAGCAGGTAGTGGGTATGGCAAATGCAAAGGTCCTGAGATCCAGTTGAGCTTGGGATGGTCAAGTACTATCAAGGAGGCCCGTGTGGCAGAGTAGGCAGCGAGGTCGGGAAGGTGGGGAAGATGTGGCAGATAGGCCAAAGGCTGACAGGCTGAGGTAAGGAGCGTGGATTGCGTTCCGTGTATAATGGGGAGTCACTGGAAGGCTTTCAGTAACATCTAGTTTCCCTTTCATAAGGATCACCCATGTTGCCATGTGGAGGGTGGATCATGGGGGCAGCAGCAGGGAGACCCACAGGGAGGCTGCTCCAGCGGTCCAAGCAGGAGACGAAGGTGGATAGGATGAGGGGGGCAGTGATGGAAAACGGATCTTTGTGCTGCCAAGATTGTGAGGTCTTAACCGATAGATTTTTTTTTTAAGATTTTATTTATTTGAGAGAGAGCATGCACCTGTGTACATGGGGGTGAGGGGCAGAAGGACAGAGAGCATCTCCAGCAGGCTCCATGCCCAGTGCAGAGCCCAGCAATGGAGCTCGACCTCACAACCCTGAGATCATGACCTCAGCCACAGTCAGGAGTGGGACGCTTAACCAGCTGAGCCACCCAGGTACCCCAGCTTTACCTGTATTAACCCATTTGATCTCCACAACAACCTACAAGGTGGGTACTGTTGTTATCCCCATTTCAGAGATGAGAAAACTGAGACCCACAGTGGTATGTGATGCGTCTAAGGTTACACAGCAGGCGAGCAGGAGAGGTAGGACTTAAACTCCAGGCTTTCGGACTCTAGAGTCACTGCCTGTGGTGGCTGCCCCCCAGTGATTTGGAAATGGTTTGGATAAGACAAGGCCACTTCCTGTCCAGTTGGTTCTGACCCAGGCTCCTCTTTTAGACAGAAGCTCCTTGGAGGTCTGGTCAACCTGGGGTGTTTCTGGGCGCTGGGTCCCTCCCTCCCTCGCCCCCCCCCCCCCAAAAAAACCCCTTCCCTTTCTTCCCCCCAGCCCCACCCCCCCTTTTCCGCCTGGCCCCCAGAAAACCCGACTTCCTGGCCAGACGCCGGTCGGGGTGTCCCCACCAGCTGTTTGTCCCATCACCCGAGCCAGGAGGCCACAGATGCTGCCAGCAGGAAACAGCCTCCTTCCAAGTCACAGCCGGGGAAATGGGACCCTTCCCGCCCCCGCCACCCTTTCCGGGGCTGGGGCTTGTTTTCTGCCAGATGCCTGGCCCAGAGGAAGGTGTTGGGGGGGCGGGCAAGAAGGGTCAGAGGGGAGCTTTCCCAGGTCCCAGGGGGA